TGTCCAAGTGAGGTCCTCACTGATGTGGACACCCAGGTATTTGAAGCTGCTCACCCTCTCCACTTCGAGCCCCCAGATGAACAGTGACTGATGAGATCTCCTCTCCTTCCTCATGTCCACTATCATCTCCTTCATCTTGTCCATGTTGAGGCTGAGATTATTGTCCTTGCACCAAGACATCAGACCAGCCACCTCCCTCCTGTAGGCTGCTTCGTCCCCACCAGTGATGTGACCTATCACTGCGGTGTCATCCGCGAACTTCAGGATGATGTTGTCTTTGTGGGAGGCGACACAGTCGTGGGTGAACAGGGTGTAGAGGATGGGACTGAGGACACATCCCTGTGGGGTGCCAGTGTTTGTAACAATGCTGGCTGAAGTCCTGTTGTCAATCCTGACAGTCTGGGGCCTGCCAGTCAGAAAGTCCAGGAGCCAGTCACAGAGGGTGGGGTGCAGACCTAGTGTGGACAGTTTGTGGGTGAGTTTGTGGGGGTAACTGTGTTGAAGGTGGAGCTGTAGTCAATGAAGAGTATCCTGATGTAGGAGTCTTCATTTTCCAGGTGAGAAAGTGAATAGTGGAGGGCAGCCATGATGGTGTCTGATCTGGCCCTGTTGGGCCGGTAGGCATACTGCAGGAGGTCTTTAAAGACAAAATAAATATACAAAACATCTGATGTTTCAAAGTCTAGTGACAAAGATGAGAATCAGTTACTATTCAGGCAGTAACCATTACATGTCATTATGTCAGGCAACAACTTCTGTCCAGGTTTTAATGCACAAATAGTGGAGGGATGTAAAACCAGTGCTAATAGAAGTTTCACAAAATAATATGTGAAGGCAGGAAATGATGAAAATACAAACAAACACAAGATGTCAAATGGAAACTCGTCTTTCTAGATCCAGTTGAGCTCTGTCTGACTGCATATATAACAAATATTTTGACACTTTGCTGTCCAGATAATTTTGTGGAGGATGAACCAGTGCCCTGTGCGTTTGCTGGTCACGGTCGTCAGTGCACCATCAACGGCTCCGAGTGTCGGGGGAAGTGGGCCGGTCCCAATGGGGGAATCACCAACTTCGACAACTTCTTCTTCGCCATGTTAACTGTGTTTCAGTGCGTCACCATGGAGGGCTGGACCGATGTGCTGTACTGGGTAAGACAGCCTGTACACGCTCACCTCTCACTCTGTGCACTCATAGGAGGTCGTACAAATCATGTTTCCCTTTGTGTGCAGATGAATGACGCCATAGGCTTCGAGCTGCCTTGGGTTTATTTTGTCACTCTGGTGATTTTTGGCTCATTCTTTGTCCTCAACCTGGTTCTGGGAGTCCTCAGCGGGTTCGTATTCTGAAAATGAGACACAGGTTCAAAGGTCTGCTGACACGCTGCGACATTTAACTGTTTGATTCTGTGGTGGAAAAAAGAAAAGCAGTAATGTCACACTGTACAAATATACTGTTACAAGTAAATGCCCTGCATTCAAAATGGTACCCAAATGTGCATGAAGTACCAGCAGTACCAGTACTCGTCCTGCAGAACGGCCCGTGTCCCAGTAACGTCTCTGATACTGGATCATAGTGACTAATTACTGTGTCCATCACTTTAATGCTGCAGCTGGTAAAGGTGGAGCTGATGGTAACTACCTTATATACTTATACTGGGAAGTACTTTCCATCCTGCTGGGTAGCTGGTGGATTTCCTACTGGGATCAATAGAGTCTGATGGTTCTACTGGGTTTGGTTTGATTCATCTGATTCTGGACCTGAAGTTATCAGGTACATGTAGTGTAGTAAAAAGTACACGGTTTATCTCTGACATGGAGTCACAGGATGAAGTAGCAGGACATGGAAGTACACAGGTGAAGTAGAGATACCTGAGAATGAGTACTAGAGTAAGCGGTGTGTTTCCAGTGCAGATCTGAATGCTGTGTCCCTGTTGCAGAGAGTTCAGCAAGGAGAGGGAGAAGGCGAAGGCGCGGGGAGATTTCCAGAAGCTGAGGGAGAAGCAGCAGATGGAGGAGGATCTGTGTGGGTACATGGACTGGATTACTCAGGCCGAGGACATGGACGAACTGGATGAGGACGGAAACCCCTGTAAGACAGAGACACTGTGTGTCTGACTGGTCCTGTATGTGGCATCATATGTGTCTCAGGTGATGTGCTGTGTTGCAGTCTGACGTTAAAATACAGACGGTGACAAATGGAAAGAAAACTTAAATAACTGAGTGGTCAGGATGAGCCCCCCCTGGCCATGGTGTGTGAACCAGACACTGTGGCCTTCCCAGTCACCAGGTCTCAGCCCAGTTGAACAGCTCTGGGAGATGTTGGAGCAACGTGTTAGACGGCGTCTCTACCACCGTCATCAAACAGTGTTCAAACGGGGGGTGGACACTGAGGTACAGTCAGCTGTGACTCCCGACAGGTTCAGTTTGGAACCAGGTCCTCAGCGCTGACCTGTGTCCTCTGATACTGGAGGCAGTCGTAGGCTGGCTAACCACCAGTTAAACAGCTGTGAGGAGAGTGTGGTGCAGACTGGGACGTGGTGGAGCTCTGGTTTTGTGCTTCTGATAGCCGAGTGTGTGCTGCACGTTTCTCTGTGCGTGTCTCTCCTGACCCGAGCATGTGGTCTGTCTGTTTTTTTTTTTGGCGTGCCAGGTCCGTCTCTGGGCGATCTGTCGGACAAGAAGAGGGCGAAGTTCGGCTGGTTCAGTCACTCCAGTGAAACTCACGGTGAGACCGTTTTTTTCTGCCTTTTTCTTCATTATTTATAAGACACATTTACATGCAGAGACAGTTTGTACAGCTGCTGTGTTCAGTTCAGTCTACATATTGAAAGACTTGACTGTGTCCCTGTAAAACATCTGGGTCCGGTTCTGGCCTCGTATTTATCCAACCCTGTTTCTAACAAGAGATCGTCCCTCAGTGGCAGCTCACTCAGTTCTCTGTGGATTTACTGTTTTCAATGAAACACAGCACAAACTAAACAAAGTGAATGTTAAATAAATGAACACAGTTGCAAAACCATAAGAAAACACAGTGTGCAAAACAAATCGGTGTGAGCACGTAAAGGCAGATGCACATCTCTGTTAATGACGAACAGGACGAGACAGAACTGTCTGTCTTCTGTGTGTCTCTCAGTGAGTCTTCCTGCAAGTGAAACAGGGTCTGAGAACACTGAAACTATCGATGAGGAACACACCGACTGCTGCCAGGCCGTCTGGTAACGCGCACACACACACACCATCAGAGAATTGAAGATGTGCGAACTGGACAAAAAGTCCTCAGCACCACATGGCAAAACTCTCGGGTTCTGTGTCGATCAGCCTTGTAGTGTTTTGTGTCTCTGGAGTCCTGCACATGCCCAGACCCACCCTGCACTTGCAGAGCTCCATCCTAAGGGGGCAAACACCCTCCATGTCCTAGTAGATGTGTTTCTGCTCACCTGTTCTCAGTCTCACATGCCTTTTTTAGCTCCTTGTTTTGGTTTTGTAGCACCTGTTTACTGCCTGCTGCGTTTGGACAGACACATGAATCGTTTGCAGGCTGCAGCCTCTGACAGGCTGCCTGTTTTAGACACTGAACTAACTCCAGTCTCGTTTCAGTACTCGGATGATGAGGGTTGGCTGCTGGTGAGTTCGCTGACCGTCAGATATTCAGTCGCTAACAGTAGTGACACGCCTCACTGTAACGATGTGACGTCTCTCTCCATCAGTTGCACGCTGCGGCGGTGGAATCGAGTCTGTCGCAGAACATGTCGCTCTGCCGTTAAGTCGGTGATGTTTTATTGGCTGGTCCTGCTGCTCGTCTTCCTCAACACCTCCCTCAGTGCATCCGAGCACTACAACCAGCCCGACTGGCTGACGCACGTCCAGGGTAACAACACACACACTGTCTGCCGTGGTCAGTTTAGTGAACAGCTGTGGTCACTGTCAGTGCTACAGTGAGATTGTTGAGACCTCCCACAGCTGCTGACGTAACACCAATTAGCAGTGGTGCCAAGTAACAAAGTACATTTACAGTACTTAAGTATTTGTGCTTTGAGTATTTTTGTATTTTATTATATATACTTCTCTGCTGGATTTCAGAGATAAATATTTCTTCATTAAGATTTTTACAGGCAAAACATTCAGAGAGCTTATAAACTTTTGTTATAGATCAGACTAATACAGACTACTGTATATACTAGTACTGCAGAAATGATCAGTCAGGAGAATTGAAAACTGTTAGTCTGTTTTTACTAATGAGTCATTATTCGTGTCAAACCTTTTGCACATCACCTGTGCTTTTATAATCCCGCTGTGGGCCTGCCCCATCGCTCAGACACACCAGAGGTTTCACTCTGGGCTCTGAGTAGCTGGAGCTCCACAAACAAACCTGTGAATCCATAACATGTGTGCAGACATCGCCAACAAGGTGCTGCTGTCTCTGTTCACGGTGGAGATGCTGCTGAAGATGTACAGTCTGGGCCTGGCTCACTACTTTGTGGCGTTCTTCAACCGCTTCGACTGCTTCGTGGTGTGTGGAGGCATCATGGAGACCATCCTGGTGGAGCTGGACATCATGCCTCCGCTGGGCATCTCAGTGCTGCGGTGCGTCCGCCTGCTGCGCATCTTCAAGGTGACACGGTGAGAAAACACACCTGGACCAGGTCTGTGTCCTCACAGTCACACAGGATCAGACGCCGTACGTGGGACGTTTCAGTCTGGGCACATGAAAGGAAAGGAAACATGAAAAGTACGGACTAAAATAACTAAACCAGTACAAAATACAGGCAGATTGAAGTGTCTGTAAAAATGTAGTAGCAGTCAGAGACTGTGTGTTTACGCTTTGTAATGGTGGTGCTTTAAAACTTCAGTCATCACTTTGCTATAACAATAAAACCTGTGTCCATCTGTTCACAGTTCATATGTGTAAATACAGGTAACAGCTTCAGGTTGTGTTTATAATGGCTGAAGCTAAAATCAGAGCAAAGGGAGAAAAAGTCCAGTCTACATCAGCAAACCTGTTTGTTCATGTTCCGTAGGATCATACTGAGCCTGTGTGAAAGTTTCATTCATATCCTCAGTTAACTGACTCAGTAACTCTCACGTCATCGGCCTGTGATGTCACTCTGTGTCTCAGCACGGAAATTTGCAAATCGTGGTTGGCCTCTCATCCGAATCTCCATGGCAAGTAACTCTTCATCACTTTCATCCCAGCTCTCATGTTCATCATCATCCCTTTCAGTGTCTTCCTCCTCTTCCTCTTCCTCATCATCTTCGCTCTGCTCGGCATGCAGCTGTTTGGAGGAAAGTTCAACTTCGACGAGACGCAGACTAAACGCAGTACCTTCGACGCCTTCCCACAGGCACTGCTCACCTGCTTCCAGGTAACACCAGGCCCGACAGACTGACGCTTCTTTGACAGCTCTGATGTTTTAATTGGTGGAGAAGCAGAGCGCTCTGCAGCGTCACAGAAACTCCTCTTCACATGACAACGTGAAAAGGTCAGATTCTCGAGTTGGTTATGATGTCAGATACTGATGCAATGAAGACGGGTCACTCAGTCCCTGGAAGATGACTCTGGTTCAGGCTGCGTTGTTGGTTAAACTGTTGTTGTATGCAGCAGAAATATGCAAAGAGCAGACGTGTGTTCGTGTGTTTTCTTCCCACTTGGTCAGTAGTTACTGTTGCAGGTGGAACAGCCAAACCTAACATAACGAAGCCTTAACATAACTAAAGGAACTTCAACCCGCAAAACACCAGACCAGCTGCGCGCTGAGGTTGGGGCATGCAGGGGGGTGTAGGGGCGTGCCACTGATGCTGACTGTATGTTCAGATCCTGACAGGTGAGGACTGGAATGTGGTCATGTATGATGGCATCATGGCATATGGAGGCCCAGTGTTTCCAGGGATGATCGTCTGTGTCTACTTCGTCATCCTCTTCATCTGTGGTAACTGTATCCTTGACGAGACGTTTACCCAGCAGGCAGCTTCTGGTTTTTCTTCTCCCACATGAGGTGTTTGGTAATGTAAGAGAGATGTACACTGCCGCTTCTGTCAAACTGAGGCATGAAGTGATGATATATAAACATGACCTCATCGGCTTCCGTCTACATCAAAGTGGTGATTAATGTGATCACAGAACCGAGTGACTAACAAGGTTCCTCTGCAGATTGTCTGGGCTCAGTGGTGTGTGGACTGTAGGAGCAGACGACCCAGAGCCAGAACCAGCTGTGCAGGCATTAGTTGGATGCTAGCACTGAGTGTGTCTGTGTTGACTTCACGCTCAAACACGCAGGGAGCTTGTGCTGTTTCTAAAATGTGTTCTGTGTGAACGCACCCTCAGAGACGCAGTGACAAACTCAGAGGTGGTGGAGGTCTGACCAGGACACAGCTGGACCCATTCCTGTGAAGAGGTTCTGGTCCAGCTGTGTAGAGTCCACAGGGCAGACCCAGGACACAGCTGGAGGAGTTGTACATCTGTCCTGGGAACCCCTCGAGATCCCCGCTGTGCCGGTCCTGCTGCAGAAACCTGTCCTGTAAGACTGGACCATAGATCAGGCTGCACACTTCTGTCCAGACCGGACCTGAGCCCAACACAGGTGTTTGTGCAGTGCTTGTCTAGTATGGCCCTTGGCATCGCACTTACGTAACTGAGGCAATATGGCAACTATTAGTTCACCAATGTAATTTTTAATGGTACTTCAGCTTAGGCTAAAGAAGAAACATGCAGTCCTGTAGTTTGTTTTGTTGCTCAGGATATTTACAAGTGCAGTTGTGCCTATTTAGCCTGAAGTCTAACCCGGATATGTGACCGAACGCAAACATGATTTCTAAATATCTTCCCGAACCAGACCCGAACCCCATGGCACCAATGAGCCCTGTCAGGTTTGGTTCAGGTATTCACAATCCATGTAGAGCTGAACATGCTTTGGTTTATTTACAATGGACACTGTCCCAGGCTTAGATGAGATTCTGCTCTTGCTCTTTCATGACTTGTATGAAGTGTCTGCTAAAGGGGATTTAGTATAACATGAAGAATAAGGGACATAGTCCAGGTTCAGGGTGGTCAGACCTGGTTTGTCCTGCACAGTGTTGAATGTTGTGTATTCTTAGTGCGTCAGACATTCTGCTGAACGTCTTCTTGGCCATCGCTGTGGACAACCTGGCTGGAGGAGAAAGAGACAAGAAGAAAAAAGAGTGAGTGAAATAAAAGAAGCCATGAAAATGTGGGCTGTAGTGAAAGAAGGAGAGCAGGGTGGTTTATCTCCTGTCAAACTGTTTCCTGTTGTTTCTGCAGTAAGAAGAAGGAGGGAGCTGAGGAGGAGGAGGCTGAAGAAGGAGAAGTGAAGGTGAACATCTTTGTGTTAGTGGTCGGTGACCAGGTGTCAGTAGTGGAAAGTAACTAAGTACATTTATTCAGGTACTTAATTATAACGTGAAGTGATGAGTTGACAGTGAGGCAACGTCCCAAACAGGGCTAACAAAGCACTGATGTTACACAAAGCTGCAGTTTCTTCCAAATTAAAGTCGTATTAATTCAACACAAAGGCAAAATCCTGACCATGCTAGGTGGCTAATGCTACCAAAACTAACAGGTTAACTTTAGATGCTAACACATCCAGAAGGAAGAAGGCCACATCTGAATCCAGTCTGAGTCCTCTGGCTGCTTTTAACCCTCTCCATGTCAAACAGCCAAACCCATGTTAACCCTGGTTGTTGCTCTTTCTTTGTCCCACTCTTCTTCTTCTTTCGGCCCCACCTCTTCACTCTGACAGCTGCTGGTTCAGACGTTTAGCTGCCCAGAGCTCCTCCATGGCTGTTTGACATGACTACTGGCTGGAAAAACCCTTCTTCTAACCTTGGCTAGGTGGCA